TAAATGCTATTTGGTGATGTGTTAGGAGAGGGAAGGGTAAGATGCATTTTGACAGCAGAGCTCAAACAAATGGTAGACCTTTGAGGTTTGACAACATTTTATCCATCCGTATTTTCTACATTGCTTATTCCAAACGGGGTCACACCTGACAACGGGTGAGGGGGGCACCACACACAGACAAACGACCACGCACACTCACTCCGAAGGGAAATTTGGGGTGTGCAGTGTTTTTTCAAACCTGTTTTATGATGGTGGGAGGAAGCTGGAGTACCCAGAGGTTCCGCTTCCCCATGGACTCAAACCACAAACCCTCTTGCTAAGAGGTGACAGTGCTACCCACAGGGTTTTGTCCAGCCCTGTAGGTCAGGGCATCTTTGTTTTAATCATTGTACTTCTTTAAAGAAAAAAAATGTGACCTGCTGTTGACCAAAATAGAGGAAGAGAGAAACTACTGACCACAGAGAAGAACTTCAGTTTCGATTGACGGTGTCATCATTTGAGCGACGTTAGTCCAAAGGTTGCGACTAAGTCCCCACTCCCATTGTAGTTTACAGCCTATACTCACTCCAGGACTCACTGCACGAAGGCAGGCAGCAAGATGAAGACCCTTCTGCTTGTAGGGATTGTTTTTTCAACGCTCCACATCAGCAACTCTGTACTTCAAGGTATGAAAAAAGCTTTTTTTGTTTGTTTTGTTGTGGTTGTTATGGTTTAATCCACAGCAAGAATTAGGAAATACCTAATGGACTTGAGATTTCCATAATGCAGTCCAGGTAAAGCACATGGCCTCAAGCCTAGCACATATATCTATCAATGTCCTTGTTCTTCTTCATCTGAGTTACTTCTTTCCCTTGGTTCTTGTTTTGCTGATAGTAAAGGTTCAACTTTAGTCATTTCCCTATGTTTAAGTCATATTGACTAAAATTGGATTGACTGAATAAATGAAAAAAAGAACAGTTGGTTATATTTTTTTAATAGATCAAATCTGTCTTCCAGGTATGAATGGACAGTCACGGTGTCCTATAGTATGTTCATGCTACTGTTGGAAATAAAGAGTTTACAATTAGTTTTCTCTGTTATAATTACCATTTACAGCTAGATAATTCCTAGCTCTGCCATTCAAAACTTTAAACACTGAGATCACTCCTGTCTGAGCTGAGCTATTATGAGCTTAGTCTAACCTGTAACCTCTCCTCAGCTCACTATGAAATTATTGGAGAGGCCCAGATTTTATGCACTTGCGTGGGATTAGATTATTGCTTAGTTAACTGGTTGATGTAAAAGTGAGTTTCTGTGTGAAATACAATGTACTTTCATTGAAAGAATAGTTTGAAACAACTTTCTTGCCGTGAAATCTGTGGAGGGCGGATGGACTGAAAAATTATTGCACATTTTACTGCCATCATAAAAAGAGGGAGTGGGTCTCTAGTGATGGGGGTAGTTAAACATTAGTTATTTATCTACTGGTGGTTTCAGCTTAGACAATTATCATACAGAAACTATGGTCACCCCACCCCATCTTACTGTGACAAAAGCCATGATGCTAAACTTTATGCATAGAAAATATAACTTTCTAACCAACCAATTGTTTTTTGTTTTTTTATCCCCTTACAGAATTCTGTAACGCCCCTCCTGATGGAGGCCAAGGCAAACTTTTCCTCTTTTCAGTGTTTTATGATCCAACGTCGGATCAGTGCAAGCCTTTCTTCTACCAAGGCGAGGGAGGAAATAACAACCGTTTTCTAAATGAAAGAGAGTGCATGAGAAACTGTTCAGAAAGAGCAGAGAATTTATACCCCATGCAAGGTAAGAGGATTTTATGGTGACAAAGAAAGACTTAATTCCATGTTATATACTACCAACTCTCACTTGTGCATATGAAACATGGTAAATGTACCTTGGACAGATTTTCTAGAGGTAGATTAAGCCAGACTGTTGATGGACTTTGGAGCGCGAACTGACTGATGAGAGTTTTATGGCCTAAACGAGCATGAAAGGGCTTATAAAACCTGAGTGAGTGCAACTGAGGCAAAACGACAGAGCAGGGGAGACCTCAGTATGTTACAGTCAGAACTGAGGAAGGGATAACTGTGTTCATTTCTCTGTAAGGTCAACAGACAGATTTATGGCCAGGGTCCTCTCTTCTGGTGGTTTCATGTAGGACGACTTTCATTTCCTCTTCTACTGGCTGTACTGGAAAGCCACTTGTCAGCATTCGCTAACAACGATACAAAAAAAAGTTGGACTTTTCAGAAGAGGCAAAACCTCACAATCATGTGAAACTGTCTGCCGTGCAAACATAGCGTGAGCTCTGTGTAATTAAAAAAGACAAACTCTACAAAAAATTAATCCTGTTGATCATGATAATGGTGTCTTCTCTTGACAGCGGTCAAAGCGTGCCACTACAAACACGAGAGAGGTGGATGTAGTGGACACTACCTGAGGTACTACTATGACTCGGTTCACAACAAGTGCAAGAAGTTCATTTGGACTGGATGCCTTGGAAATGGAAACAGATTCTTTTCCCATGAGAGCTGCAACGCCACCTGTGCCGGCATCCATGGTGAACACATGTTGGTCTTTTGTGCCCAGTTACTCCATCACTATGCAGTGATGTCAAAATATCAACATGTCTGAGGGATTTCTGTTTCCTTTTTCAACATTAAGCTGATGTTTATCTTTTTTGGTCCTTTAGATGATGGTGAAGAGCTTGAGGAGGACGAGCCTGATACTCCTATCGGTTAGTTCACTGCTAATATTCAGGTGCATCTCGAAAAGTGAGATTTGTAGTAAGTGAAATAAGTGAAAACAAACTATTTCTTCTACTGTAAATGTGTAATTCTTCACTTGATTTGATTCCACAGCAATCATCTGTGGTGTTTTGCTTTCTGTCATCATTTTGTCCATCATTATTACTGTTACCGTCCTGACTGTTCAGTCAAAGTAAGAGCATTTTCTGTTTTTATTCTCTCTTCTTACTAAAAAACGCATGATCAGTGGAAACGCACCTTCTGCAATTATCTAAACATTCATTGATCTTCTCAAGGAAAAAGAAAGCCATGAAGACAAGAGAAAAAAGCACCAATCCCCAGTCGGACGCACCTCTTCAGGAGGGAGGCATCGAGATGACATAAAACATCAGCTCAGCTAAAAAGCAAAGCTTTGACCAGTTTGCCATTAGGAACTTTTTTTTTCACTGGAACCATATACATTACAGTTGTGAATGAGAATAGTTTGAAAAGGTTCTGTTTTTTGGACTGTGTCATCATTTTGCAGATGTGTGTACGGTAATTTCTCTTTTAAATGTGTAAAGTGATTTTCTTTTACCCTTTGTCATCATGAAAAGTTTAATAAATACTTTTAGCTCATAATCATATAAAGTCACTATCAGCAGCATCAGTCGATCTATTTTTCAATCTATATCACAAGGCAGGAGCCTGAAAGTTTCCTTTTCTTTACTCTTCTCATTTGTCAAAGTGATGTGTTGTTTTCATTAAGACAGAGAAAAATTAATGAATTTGGATTGTGCACTGTGTCTCTGGTAGAAAGAAATACATAATATCAGGTCCGATCAGTTTTTATTACAAAGCTGGAACATTTTAGGAAGGATAATTATATCAAAATAGTGCCCTCTGTAAAGCAATAACTTTCCATTACAATTCATTTTAAGAGAAACATCAGTTTTAACTATGTCATTTAAACGGGAGAAAAAAACTATTTCAAATATATTTTCTAATTGGTTGTTTTCAAAAATCCCATTTCTCTGTTTCTGAAACACAACTACATCATCATCATCACAAGTTGCTGAAAGTTGTTTGATTTTTGCTTGTACTATTTCAAAAATCCAAATGTTTGTTTTTAACCCTTTCTGTGCAGCGATAGCTTGACTATTCTTTATTCTATTAAGTTTTTTGCTCATATTTTGTGAATTAACACATAACATTTGCTGTCATGTGATGATGTGTTAAATATTCAATAGCCTATGTTATGACACATTTTTTTAAAAGACAGGTATTTTTATTATTCTGTATGTGTGGTGCAAATATTCACAAAACATCTTTATAGTCATTTTGCTCTGAAATATTCTCAGGGTTGTTGTTTAACAAAATCAACTTCAGGGCTTTTTCAAAATGTGCTATGAATTGTGTTTGCACTGCATCAGGGTGGAAATATATGGTGATGTTTGTTTGACTGCTTCAATAAAATCAGCTTGTTGTGTTTCGATTGATTTGTTTTGGTGTGAATTTATTCACCATTATCAGTTCAGCAAGTATCTTATCCCAATATTATTATTATTAGGCATTATTCCAAAAAGAAAAGCATGTCAACTAAAAGGGGGGGAAATAAATGAGAAGGTTCTAAGTAAAGTAGTAATGGTGTAAAATGACAAGAAAAGACCAAGTGCTGTAACTAGTAAAAGTAGAACGAGCGCCAAACAGTCTTAAAAGATGTACTAACCGAGTACAAAGAGGTGGTTAATAACTAACACGTGTGAAATGAACCAAACCGATGGCAAAGCGACGCTAAATTTGAACCAAAACGAAAATAAAACTAAAACAGCGCACTATGACGAAGATACTAGATGTTTTTCTGATGTCGCAGCCCACCCATCATCTCTTTCTGGTGCCAGCTCTGAAGGAGCTAATCGTCGAGTTTTATCTAATTTCACTGGAAATTTCCATATGAAAGCGTCAGAGCTCCCCTCGAGCTTTACAGTCGCGGTAAACCTTCTTCACTAAAGTTAAAGGGGCACGTCTGTGGGTCAACATTTGGCAGTATATCCACAAAACACACAGAAATGACCACGCCAGAGTCAGGCGTCCAACTGGCTTCGCGTTATTCAAAATTAAAGCTGCCGAATGTAAAAAAAAAAACGGCGTAGACCCGGGCTCCGGCTCCGATAAGATCAACGTGTTTTAGACAGTGCGGAAACATAAACGTCGACGGAAGTAGAAAAGTACCTCTTTCAGAGGCTTTTCATCTTGGAGCTGGCAAGCGGCGGAGCCGGCAGAGCGACGTCACTTCCTTGAGTTATTTCCATTTGTTTGTGACGAGCGCCAGCAGTTACCTGCTACGTTAGGCACCAAAGATAACGCCGCTGTTTTTTAGCATTCGTGTCGGTGTGGGAGCCGGAGAGCTTCCATCCGCTGGAAACTCTTCCTCCCGGGGAAATGCGAGCTGTGTAGTCGCTACCAAGCGCGTTGGCTTTTTAGCAAAGACAGGGAGCCGTGTGCTCGCGATCAGAGGTTGGCTGCTGAGCTAACGTTAGCTAGCTATTTTAGGTTAATTGGCTAACTATTGTTAGCCGGCCCGGTCCCGATTCGTTTGGATTTGCCGCACTGGTCGACTTTCTCGCAGTTGTGAGCTGATGGAGTGTCCTCACCTGATCTCAAACGTTGGCGGTGCCTCGGACTCCTTCAGGTTCCCGAATGGCTCACCGTCATCTTGGTGTTGTAACGGTAAGATGCGTTTGTTTCTCTTTAAACGCCAGTGTAAACATGGAAAAACAGCTGTGTGAGGAATGTTTTTGGATGCTTTCCTGTGGTCAGGCTACGGAGACATTTTTGTGTCAGCTGGAAAGACTACTATGGCTACAAGTTTAACCAGCCACACACACGAGGGCAAATCACGACTCAAGAGTTAGACTTCGGCTGTTAAACGCTTGAATTAACGGTTTCTTCAAAAGCAACGTCTCATTAAACGGGATCTTTTTTTTTTTGTGTCCAGTTTGCAGGTCCAATAAAAGTCCCTGGATCTGCCTTGCCTGTCTGATGGTCCACTGTGGGCGGTAGGTCTCTCCACAACTAAGTAATTATATATGCTGGTCCAAGAAGATACTGACAAAAATGCAACAGATAAGTAAAGAATGGGTTTTTAAATCAGTCTGTCTCATTTTTTTCATAGATATGTCAATGGACATGCAAAGAAACACTTTGAAGAGAATCAAAGCCCATGCATTAGTCAGAAGAGAGGCGAGAAACCAGAGAAGGAGAAAACCCATCACGCCGTCTGCATGGATTGCAGCAACTTCAGTGTTTTCTGGTGAGAAAAGTACAACTATATCTGTTAGTAACCCCTCACTAGTGGAGCCCTCATCCTAACGAGTCCCATCACCGCAACCATGTTTTGACCAGTACTTCCATGTTGTAATACATGAATAAATATGAGTTGTTGGCACAGCTTTAATCAACGTACTTATTATGGGACCTTTACAGTTACAGATGTGATGACTTTGTCGTCAATGACACCAAACTTGGGCATGTGCAGAAGGTGAGGGAACATCTTCAGAGTTTAGAAAAGTAAGTACCACTTATCAAGAGTGAAGGGTTTGTATATGGCGTTTGTCTCATTTCACAAATACAGTTGCTCCTTGACGTGCATCGAAATATTTAGCTCATACAGTAAGTGTTAAGATTTTTGTAGTGTTTGGGAAGCCATGCTACAAGGTAAACAAATGAAAATATTTCTAATCGAGATGTGTCACGAAATGACTTGATTCAAGCATAACGCACCTTTTTACTCCTCACAGTTCACTGCATATGGGCGACAGACAGAGGAAGCGAAAACTTCTGGAAAGCCCAGCTTCAGATGGCAAGTTATTAAAAGACAGTGTAAGTAACTCTTGAAAAGAAGCATTGTTTTCATCTTTAAAGTTAGAAACTGCTTCAAAATTGTGCTGTTGCACTTTAAGTCTTGGACAAATTTCTCCTTCATGGCTCTTTATTCACAGTGCGCTGCCATTACTATCCTTTATAGAGCTTTATGCTACTTATGCTAGTTATGCTACTATTACAACAACCACAGCATTTTATTTTCATATATCTTAATGACTTTACTTATCTTTTAAAGGACGGGGTTGCTCTAGGAGCAACTGGTCTGCGGAACCTGGGCAACACGTGCTTCATGAATGCCATACTGCAGTCCCTCAGGTAAGGCTGTGAGCAGAGGAGGAGTGTGGTGGACTGATTGGGCAGCCTGAGTCTGTAGCTCTGCCCCTGTAGACCCGGGGCCCCACAGCCAGTCATCCTTTATTAATATAGTCTGTGGCACAGTCAGAGGGATTAAAGAGGCTGCTTAGAAACAAGACACTGGCAATGCCAGGTTTCCAGCTCGCACACATTTTTGCCTTTATTGCTAAAGGATTATTCTATTGCCTGTTCACATGTACGGCATGTAACACTTAAGACGTGAAAAGATACACACAGCACTTCCCATTTCCAAGGTGTGCACAGTTTTCTGTGCTATATGTTGTTAGTTTGATTTATAGTTTTTATCTAGTAAGTATCTGGACTTGTGTAGTATTACATGTTAATAATGCTCTCTTCCAATACAACCAATTAATGGTTTGATGTGATTAAAGGCTAAATTTCCTACTGTTGTGTCACCACTAAACATAATGCTTAGAGTCCTAAAGCAGACGGCTACATTTCTTTCTTTCTAAATTAAGCCTTGTAAGCCTGCTTTCGCTCCAGAAATCAGCAGTTTGGATCTACTTACAGTTTACAACCTAATCCCCTCAAAAGTGAAATAAAGTTGTTTGAATCCATTATTTTCGTTCCAGGTACAACAGTTCTTTAAGCCTGAAACACTAATGACATGATGCAGTATAATCTGTAGTAAAATAATCAAGGATTGTTTTGTTCTCACCGAATAATCTAATGTGACCACTCAAAAGGAATTAAGGCTTTGATATTTGACAAATCAACACGTTCAATTTTGATGTTCCAGCCTTTGTCTTTACTAAATGTTTTTTCTTTGACAGCAACATCGAGCAGTTCAGTTGTTATTTCAAGGAGTTGCCTGCAGTGGCTCTACGCAGTGGTAAGACGGCAGGAAGAAGGATGTACCACACCCGCAGCCAAGGGGACAACACTGTGTAAGGTCCTCTTCTGAAGGAGGGAGAGTTTATGGGCATTAAACTGGCACTTGTTTCAGCAACTATGAAGTTGGCAAAAAAGTTTGTTGGTGATCAGGAAAGATGGCATTCTCAAGAGTTGAATGATCAGTAATTGCATTTTATTGATACAGGAAAAATGTGTCCGGAGATGATTACTACAGTTAACTTTTTTCCCATCCTCAACTCAGCAGATAATAAAGTTTTTTATATGTGGAAAGTTCCAGGGTGCAGTGTAGTAAAATGGCTTCTCTTTGTTGAGCAGATCGCTGGTGGAAGAGTTCAGGAAAACTCTTTGTTCCCTGTGGCAAGGAAGTCAGACCGCCTTCAGTCCAGACCCCTTATTTTATGCAATATGGAAAATTATGCCAAGTTTCAGGTACCTCAACACTGTTCAAAGACTGCCAGCAGTTATCCTCTGACCCTGAGCTTTAACGTCTTCCATTGTGACCTCCATGTAGCATATTGTGGGAACTACATATATCACAAGTGGTTGTTTTTGTAATAGTTATGTAACCCAAAGCTGTCTCTGCTTACAGAGGGTATCAGCAGCAGGATGCTCATGAATTCATGCGTTACCTGCTAGACCATCTGCACAGAGAGCTCCAGTGCTGTCGCAACGGGGCGTCTCACCCAGTCTCACCCCAAGAGGCTGTCAGAATCTCCTCCAATGAGGGAAAATGCTGCATGTGAGTTCATCCAAGCTTCCAGGGAGTTTGGTTTTAGTGTTTTCTCTGTCTGTTATTCATGTTTAGGTTGTTGGATGTTCCAATGCACTTAAAAATGACAACACATCACTCATAAAATGCTATTTGATCTGTTCAGTCTGTTAATATAAATGATATCTTCACAGAAATGGAGCCGCCAGTGTAGTCACATCTATCTTTGGTGGAATACTTCAGAACGAAGTAAACTGTCTGATATGTGGGACAGAGTCTCGAAAGTTTGATCCATTTCTTGGTAAGAAAGTTTTCTAAGAATAACCAGATACACCCGTCAGAACCCCATTAAGCCTTTTTCCTTATTTGCCGCCAGCAGTTTTAACAGGAATTAAAAAAAAAGAGCTGAATAACCCTAACGTTTAAATTCATTAAGTGGAGATGGAGCATGATGTGTGACATTGAATATTTCCATCATTCTTTTCTCCTTTTTAGATCTTTCATTGGACATTCCCAGTCAATTCAGACAAAAGAGAAGTAAGGACCAGGAGCCGGGTCCAATGTGCACCTTACGTGGTAAAAAAAGTTTTCAGTTGATAATTTGTTGACTTGTCTCTTTTTGTATATTTCTGAATTATTTTTGGTTTGGTAATTGAAATATGATGATGAATATGAATACAACTTTAGAATATATGTTTATTCTTTTGTTTTTTCCTAAAATCTTAAGACTGCCTACGTAGCTTTACAGACCTGGAAGAACTGGATGAAACAGAACTGTATTATTGCCATAAGTGTAAAAAGCGTCAGAAATCAACAAAGAAGTTCTGGATCCAGAAGCTCCCAAAGGTATTCCAACTTATGGAATGTTACGAGGTGGAACATTATTAAAGTGTGTTTCCCAATTAGGTTTATTTGTTTTCTTCCCTCCCCCCACCTTTTTGTAGGTTTTGTGTCTACACCTCAAACGGTTCCACTGGACTGCCTTTTTGAGAAACAAGGTGGACACTTATGTGGAATTCCCTCTGAAGGGTCTGGACATGAGGAACTACTTACTTGAGGTGAGCTTGTAACTGAAGCAAAGCTAATGATGGCATTTAACCATACAGCGTTCAGATGAGAATCCAAATTGAATTCTAAGGGGTGCCAATGCGGTGGTCACTTTCTGACGGTACGACTTTTGAGATCAGTCAGATAATAAATTAGAATCAATTGTGGTCTTGAAAAAAGAATTAGAACCATGATTTGAACTGCAACTGGTCTAGTGTTTGGCTCATGTTGAGATGAGTGCAGCAGGAGGAATATTATTGGTATTACAGAGGGTATTTAAGACTGTTGACTAAAAAAAGTGCATGCTTATCCGGCTACATTTGCCCCTGTGCTCCCTCTACTGGACATCTCCATCTTGCAAATTCCGTACATGTGGCATTCATTTCTTTGAACATACACAGACTAACAAAAACATGTCAGGCAGCCATCATGAACATGTAAACTTGCTTGAATGAGAAAACAAAATGGGAAAATTAAGTTTGCTGAAGCATGACTTGTTGAAGTTTTACTCATGCTGTCCTTGTTGCAACATAACACAGAACCACAATAACACAAGGTTCAGTCAAAGCCATACAAACTTACAGCTGGACAGCGTATTGGATAGAAGGGGCAAAGCATCACGTGTTGTGCATTGTGTTATTCATTCTTGTAATCATCGGGTGCAGCCTCCGTTCATAGGCGGGTGATTGATCTCCAGCCAGCTGTAGCCGCCTGGGCTTGTTTCCACAACTTTCCAAAATCCCGTTAAAGCTGATTCACACCCTAGTTTGGTTTTTGGTAACGGAGCATCTGTTTTAGAGTCCGGGTTGAGGCAGGCCTGTACTTAACACGATATGCATTTTGGTTAGATCTGTAATAAAAGTCAAATGCAGTCAACGTGGAGCACAGCATTTTAAATGTCAAATGAGTCTGTATGGAAGCTTGGGGGGGGATTAGCTTGTTTCCATTATTTAAAATAGCATGTCAGCTGTCTCTTTAGGTCTGCGCTTCATGGTGGATGGGGCAGATTAACACATGGACAGGTTGTTGCTCCTCCCCGCCTGTGCATGCTGCCATCATGAGCCTCCATGTTCACTGGAAGCCTGTGGCAGCTCTGCCAAGACTACCCAGTCTGTTTGTTCTTTACGTTGGGCTTGGAAAATAAGTAGTTGCTCCAAATCACAGGTTCATAATCAGCGCAGCCGTCCCTGCCGAGTCTCTGTCATTTATTTGTCAGTAATGCTGTAAAAAGATCAGCAGTGTTCTTTAATTTCCCAGCTTCCGGAGCAGCCCGTTATTCGGGGGCTTGCCGACCAGCGCAGCTCGTGCCTTCGTGCTCTCCTCCCGGCTGACTCTCACTCTGCAGCACAAACACAAAGACCTGCTTGTCAGCTTCAGGGTTGTAGATGTTTGCGTGTGTTTCTCAGAGCTAAACAGTCACAGATTCATGTTTTATTGCTCTGAGTTAACAGCTTTCATGCCACAGTCCAAGCCACATTTTAGTTTTCTGCAACAGAAAGGTGGAGTTACATTTTTGGAAGTCTGTGCCCACTTCAAAAGGTTTATGGTACTCTAGATCTCCCTGAAAGAGAGAAAAACGTTGTCTCTAAGTCTGAAAGCGAGACCTCTGGTTTCTCAGCACACCCATAATTTCAGCTGTACAGCCTTCATTCAGAGTGGAATTGAAAGTCTCACCCCCTGCTTTGTTTTTTTCTTTGCAGCCAGAGAATTCTCTACCAGGGACTTGCTTGTACGACCTTGTTGCTGTCGTGGTGCATCATGGATCAGGGTGAGTTTTTATGTGCATTCTCTGGGTTGAGTGTTGTTTAAAAACAAAAAAGGAAGGGGGGGGGGTCAACCTTTTTCTTTGTGGAATAGGCTGATATGGATTGCTCCGGGGATTAAGCTGAATCTTGAATTACAGCTTTCTGAGCAGCATCTTCATGTTGCCGATGCTAGATATGTTGAACATATTGAAGTGCTTTTGTGTTGACAGAGAGATGAGGAGCGGAGTCCCTTCATCAGAATAACACACTACCACAGATCTACACATTATTTTCTAGCAGCTGGCTCCGCCCGCTGTGTTTGACTCTGTCACCCAGTAACTGGGGAAACAATTCATATCCAATTTAGACAAAAAGCTTTGTGGACAGCTGCCGTTTAAAAATTCATGCAGCCACTAAACGCTGAAATGCAGCCGACTGAGAGTCCTTGAAAGTGCATTTGGATCAGCCCACAGTCAACGTGGGCTACTCATTTCTGCCTCTAAGGGGCACTGTTGTGCCACCGCTAAGAGCACGCCTGACCGCAGGAGATGCTGTTCTTTGAGAATCTTGAATGTGCAACGTGATGTGCATATCTGTGTCTGCAGGGTTGGGTCGGGGCATTACACGGCATATGGCAGCCACGAAGGCCGCTGGTACCACTTCAACGACAGCACAGTCAGCCTCACCACCGAGGAGACGGTGAGGAAAGCCAAGGCCTACATCCTCTTCTACGTGGAGAGGACTGGTCAGTCGGCCAAAGAGGAGCCTGATGCGGACTCTGCGTCCATGGACAGCGTTTCCACAGAAACCCTTTCTCAGGACAAGGCTGTCACAGACAGAAATGTGAGGGATGCAGCAGCCACACAGATGAATATTTCTGAGAAAGCACAAGAGGATGAGTGCAAAGACGTGCTCACCTTGAATGAAAGTGGCCCGGTGTCAGGGGAGGAAGCAACAGACAGGGAGAACTCAGACCAGACTGGACCAGAAGGAGCTCTCCAAGCCGTACAAACTGCTGCTCCCTGATTCTTTCCGATTTCACTGCCTCAGATTAGCTCGTCTCCTCACTTTTTGGTTTCACCTCAGCCACATTGGCGACGCGTCCCAGTGTTTTATTATCAGTGTAGATCGTTTTACCCGTGAATGTATCTGCATCTCTTTTGTGTTTATGGACGGCTTGACAGAATCATGCTGCTGCTCATTTAATTTGTTTAAGTGTATCTTTTTGGCGTTATTTTTTTTGTATTCCTCAGTTGGGGTAGATTTCTCTATGTTAATAGATTCCAAAGGTGAACATTGAAAGTAAAGAAGCAAAGCTTTAGCCTTGGAAAACCTCTGTTGGTCCAATGTTCCGTAGACTGAGAACCATTGTGTCAACACACTGTAAGAATATTTGTAATTTCTAATTTTGTCTTTAAGCTTCAATTTATTTTATATACATTTTTCACCTCGTAGTATTTTTCTCCAGATGTTTTAATGCATTTGACTTAGGAGAGCTTGTTAGAAAGGGGCTTTTAGAAAATTGTTTTTGATCAGCCACAAACAGCATACAAGACTATGCTGAAATCCTCCTCTTTTGGTGAAGCATTATTCTAAAGCTGGCAGTGATGGGACCTAATTAATTGACTTTTTGAAATATGTATTGAGCAAGATCATCATGATGGAATACAATGGAAAATATTTTATTCATGTTTGAGTTGTAATGTCTTCAATTAGTTTTTAGTAGACGTTCTGTTGTAACGACCACACATGAAATATAAGGGCTTTTCTGTGACACCGTTCCAAGGAGCAAAACTGTGATCTATCCACCAGGTGCTAATGATGTTTTAGTAATATCTTTAAATGTCAAAGTCCCTCGTTATTATTTGAATTAACAAAGCCACAGAAATAAAGGCCACGAATTCTGTTACTACACAGTTTCTTCATGAGGGATAATTATTCCAAATTTGTCAAAGAAATTGAAGTTCAAATACTTGACTTTTCTCTGTTTTTTGTATGTCGCACAGAACGATGAATTCATTTTAGGTGTAGTGGATAAGATGTATGTCATTTATATCTATGTAGAAGTAACCCAAAACCCTTTTTCACAGCTTCTCATTTGATTTGTAAGTACATGTATCCATTAGAGGGCATATTTTAGTAAGCCTTTTAGTGCCGTGTTTCTTTTTTTTTTTTTTTACTCTTCAGTGAAGGTCCCCACCCACCCACCCACACTCGCTCAGTCACACGTACGCATACACCTCCCCTCGGGAACACGTGCCAACCAGTACGGCCTCCTGCTCCTGCAGGAACAAACTCTTCTGTATGCAGAGAAACAGCTGCTCTCCGTCGCCGGCTCGCAGGTGGCTTTGAGCTGGCTGTTTCCATTAATGGCACAAGTAGCCTTTTTTCTTTTTTTTTCTTTTCCCCTCTGACGCTGAATTCTAGCTGCCATTAATATGCTCACATTGCATTGCATTCATGGAGTCATAGGTCTGGTTAAGGACATCATGACACAGTGAGTCATAGTACAGGATGTAATCAGCCGCCCAACAGTGGCACTTCCCAGTGTCCCGCATTTTTTTGAACAGAACATACACGGGGAGGTGGAGTGGAGTGATGACGTATACATAATAGTATTTTTGCCTTTTTCCATCAGAACTTCCTCTGTGTTCTAGTTGAGCAAACACACGCTGAGTCACAGCCTACCGTGTTGCCTTAGGCAAAGTCCTACATAACACTGTTTGGGCTTGTGACTTTTACTCACATGTCGGAACTCCCAGGTTGTTGCTATGAAGGTTGGTCTCTTGTGCTTATTTTAATTATGCTATGCGGATGCTCTACAGTTCTAAAAGTGGGTCGTTAAGTTGTGTTTTGAGGCATTTCAGTGTGACTCATCCTTACCTCTGTAAATCTATCACTTAAAACAGTTGATATCTGTTCATGAATAATTAATCTCATTAGTGATGGCCCCACGAGGCAAGTCAAATATCACTTTAATAACCCATTTCTAAATCTTTGATCCATTGGGCTGGTCATGTATTTAATTAATGTCTCAGTTTGGCCATTTCATCCATTATTTAAAAACCCAGAAAAACTGTGGATGTGCTTCTACTACAGGGAGCAAAATGTGTCTCTTCAGTATACATACAGATCTGTAAGGTTGGTCACCACATCCAATGATCTCCTCATAATTCAATTTTAAATCCATACATATCCATCCCTCTGCTGGCCTCATTGGAAATGTCTACACATTTTTGGGGGTGTTCTTACAATACCTTCACATCCCTCAACAAGTGTTCCAGTGTGTCCCTCAAATGACCCACTGGGATGTCCACAGCCTGACCAGAACCAGTACTGTAATAGACATTTTCTATTTTGTCAGCTGTTTGACTTCACTAAACGTGCCCCAAACCATGAGATGAATCACACAAAACCAGCTAAGTCATGAACTTTTTGGTATTTGTCAACCTTTTAAAATGATGAAATGTCTGTTTTGTGCAGTGTGGATCTGCCTCAGCTTGTAATGTGTTTGTAAAACCGTGTTCCCCCTGTGGTACCATTAGTCAGACTTGCTGGAGACACAAAGATCCATCGTTAGAATCTTCTGATGGCTAAGTAGTTCTTATGAACAATGGAGCAATACAGTACAGGCATGTGCTATGTTTTTCTTCCTTTTTTTTTTTAGAGCTCATTGTGGTCAACAAATGAATGCAGGCTGCTTGGACGCAGATCAGTCTATTGTTTTATTTTGTGCCATGATGAATGGCCTTAGCTGAGAGCATCCTCGTGTCTTTACTCCTCCCAAACTGCAGAATGACATTTTACTTTTCTACCCTTTAAGACAAGCTAAATGAATTGGAGTTTTCCTTCAAATTAAATTCAAATCCACAATGATTTATGCAAAACGTGTGTCAAAGTGTTCTACCTTTACATAGGAGAAACACCGCCTAAATGTCCTGTGACAATTAAACAGAGTGAAATAATGATAATATTAATTCTAAACCCCCTTGATAGAATGGGGGCTCTAACTCTGAACATTGTAGGAGCCTTTAAAACTAGGCTTGTGTTGACTGAAGAGTTTTATTATTTTCTTTACAACACGCAGCGGAGGTGTGTCTTTGTGTGTGTCTGTTAGTGTAGTTCTGTTCCTGTGAAATAGGCCAGGACAGTGTAAACATCTGGCTCGGTCCAGAGCCCGCTGCCTGTTGAGAGCCGTGACAGATGGTTAGGGGAGCGTACGGCTCAGACACTTCCATCTTTGAATGGGCTGCAGTTGTCTTCCCAAAATAGCCTTCACTCCGCGGCCTTATATGAGCAGGCCTTCGGCGTGTGCCTGAGGGGGCATCATGTATCTAGGCCACACAATGCAGGCTGTGGGCTCATTGTTGCTGCCTACCAGCAGGCCCGTCGCTGCCCCAGGGACCGGGCCTCCCTGAATGCCCCGGGACACTTCAACCATGCGTCTGACCGAGCTCAACCGGGAGTGCCTCCTGCACCTTTTCTCCTTCCTGGACAAGAACAGTCGAAGGAGTTTGTCTCTGACTTGTCAGCGGTTGCGTGAGGTGTTCCTGGACCCCTGCCTCTGGAATCTACTCCACTTCAGCTCGCCTTGTGAGCTTAGAAAGGACAACTTCGTGCTTGGAGCCTCTCTGCGTTACTTGACTGTTTGCTGGTACTCCAGCAGGGTCCTGCAGGTGTGCAACATCGAGGACTGGTTGAAGAGCTCTTTTCAGAAGGACATCTGCAGCAGGCATGAGAGGCTCGTGAGCGCCTTCCTGGCCCGTGTCTGCCACATGTGAGTGTTCTGTGTTAGACTTTTTTGCTTTGTTAAGACTTATAGAATTCATTTCTGACAGTGAGTTGTTACACAGACCAACAAAGGCTGCACAACCAAGCAGTGTGTTATACGGGCACATACTGCAATGTTCTCTGAAGTGGTGCCTTCTTTGCTCATGGTATAAACACAGAATTGATGTAGAATCTCTTTCATTCAAGGCCCGGCCTTGAGATTGTTTTATGTTCAAGCATGAATGTTAGAATTCCAAATGTTGTAGGCCTTTTCTGTTGCATATGTCCTGATAAGTGGGTGGGGGTGGGTGTTTCAGGGTGACTTTGGGTCACAACAGTGGGAACAACACTTTTCATTTCAGAGCACATGGCTGAGTCAAACTTCCATGTTTGGCTGTAGGCAGCAGGCAGTAAAATCATTAGAAACAGATGGTGCATTTGGAGCCGGCGATCTAGACAGAAAAATGACACATCTGTAGGACATAAGACTAATTCTATTAACAAACACAACTGTGGGCACACGTCAAATTATTTTTACTGAACGACATGACATTTGGATTTGATAGGTCATTGAAACTAAGCTGTTTTGGCTCCCGGCCTCTGCGTGCGTGGCTGGCTCCACGCAGGAATCGGCCCGGAGAAGCGTAATGAGGTCTCTGGATAATTTCTTCAAGGCAGCCAGTAATAACTGCTGATGTGAGGGAGCTCAGCCACCGCAGCTGGCCGGGGCAGGAGGAGGGAGAAAAAAGGGGGGAAGGCTCTGTGGCACAGTACATGACCCTGTGAGCACTTCCCGTATTGTGAAATTTGAGATGGAAGACACGAGAGCCGTGAGATGAGTCACAACCAGAACCGCCTACTCTGTCCGGGGCTTCTATCCCAGTGCCTTTTTGGGCACTCTCTCTGCATACTGATAAACCCTCCCAAACGGTTCTGAAAGGGAGAAGAAAGCAAGCGCACGTGACAGAAAGGGAGGGGACACGGAGGAGCTGGGGGATTGATATAGAGTGATTTGGCCAGACGCTCCGAGTCAGCTGCACGCTGGAGATTTATGCAGGCAGGTGGAGCCCACAACTGGCTCTTTGTTGCAGTTTAAGCAATGAGCATGTGCGTCGTGTCTGCCTGCCTCTTTAAATCTGACGCCAAGCTTCGTGTCTATCTTTATCTTAATCTTCATGGAAAAACCTACAGCACTGCGTGCGTGTGGTTTCCTTTGTTGTGTCCTTTGAAATGTAGTGCTCTGTAAAAGAAAGAGGAGAGCAATAAATCAGTCATCAGGAACTTTTTAGCTTTTTGATCATCTGAGGACACAGCTTTTGAATTACACAACACCAATGATCCTGCTTGAGGTGCCATGCTGCAGTGTTAGTTTCAAAGTTAAACAGTTCCAAGTAGGATTTTTTTCCAAACTTGGAACTGCTACATTTGAAGAAATGTGCGCTTTCTCTTGCATAACAGGAAAAATACAAAGACTGAAGTTACGATTGAGTTATGACGTGTTTCCACAGTACACAGAATTTTGGCTTACGGCTGCTTTTGAAATATGCTCCTTGGCTGCAAAAAGCAGAGGATTTTTTATACCTACTCTGAAACCAATCTTTTGGCCCTTAACAGACTGATGGAGATGCACAGTAAATGCACATGTTGGCTCTCTTCAGGGTTCACAGAACAATTTGACCAGGCAAAATAACCGTTAGGAAAACCAAACAGGTCATTAGAGAGATGATTATAGGTTAGTGGTGTGGTTTTCTGCTGGTGCTCAGCAGAGAACAGACTGCCCTCTAAGGCCCTTGTTTAAATGTGGACTACATCATGTCTCACACATATACTGAACGAGTTAAATGAAACAGAAAAACTGCAAAGCATACATATTTTTGAAGATGTGTATCTTTCTTTACACTCAATACAGGTATTTTATTTTTACAATGAAAGGTTATCAAGAGACTTGACACCCATTAATCAAATCAAAAGAAAAAAATAGTTCTTTAATGGCTCTAAAATCAGATGGTAAATCAGACAGTAAATGCATGTGAAAAACCTAATAGAAGCTGATAGGTGAAGGTGATAGATTTTGTAACAAAGGTTGATTTTTTCTGGTTCCCTCCACTTATATCTTCCTCTGTCCTTAAAGGCTTTATCTCCTACTCTGAGAGACAGTCTTCAGAGAGCAAATGAACATTCAAATCCCACTATCTCCTGTTAGTATACATTCTCTTTTTTCAGTGTCAACAGCATGTAATCACTTCCCCTGATAAAAACGAAAACGCAATAGTACAGCAGGACACATACATTGACTACTGCGTGTCCAGAGGTTACTGGGGCACTACCCGTGCAATACTGGAATATGCGTGGCTCTCATGTGGTAAAGTGGTAAGATTATATAAGACTTTATGTAATCTGCAGCAGCCAACATGAATGACCTTCCTGATGTGTTTCCATCTGAGTGGCGGTAATGCTGGCAGGCAGCAGTGCACTCCTGGAGCCCTACAGAAATAAGCAGTAAACAAATGCACCTCCCCATGACATTTAATGTTCATTTTAGAAGGTTTTTTTTTAACTTTCTGCAGAGGAGTTGTTCCTTGTCATGCAATAATTCTTCAAACATCCTGTAATTGTTCGGTACAATAACACTAACCTCACGCATTCATGAAATGTTTTCGGAAGGCGGAAGCATGTAAGCCCCAGGGAGATGGTTTTGCCATTAAATTGCTCAGTCACAGATCATGTTGCTGCCTCTTAGAAGTGTTGTTTACATATCTTTCATAGATGATCTGGCCTCGTGATCCAAAAGCTTTCTACATGTTACCTGACTCTTATATATTTACATGTCTACAATATCCGTCGGAAAATGAGAAACACACCGGAGATAACTGTTTACAGTAGATCAGTCAGACTGTAGAGGGACTAATCTCTCTCCACTGTACTTTAGGGTGGGATGTGTGATAGCAGGCCTTGCCCTGTTTTATTACGTTACTGATAGTTATCTGTCCCCCAGGTGTCCCAACCTGCTCACACTCACCCTGTCTGGCTGCGCACACATCACCGACCAGGACGTGATCTCTGTGCTGCAGAGGTGCAAGAAGCTGCGCAGGCTCCACATAGAGAACTGTGTTCGCATCACAGACGGCTGCCTGCGGGGTGTGGCGGCCCACGCAGACAGTCTGGAGGAGGTAAAGGTAGACTTCTGCAGGAATATCACTCAGGCAGGGCTGCAACGCTGTCAGGAGACGAGGCCGGCCCTGCGCCTGAGCGCGGAGAGAAGCGCCCACATGATCCCCGACAGCCAACCAGAGGAGAAGGCGCATCTCAGGAGGACTCTGCAGAAGGTCCTGCAGTTCTCCTGAGACTGGATTTGATCATTGGTTTATATGGATTGGATGTGTTTTATAAGAAACAAAAAATTCCAGTGAGGCAGTAACAACTTTTTTGTACAGCACACACAAAATATTAGCTTTTTTTGCAACTTCTCCAAGTCTTATCTCCACATGTGGCCTTTTCACTGATTCTTAACCAAACAACGCATGGAACAATTCAATACTTTGATTCCTAAACCAACCAGTTGCTGTTTTATCTTCTGTTCGTAGGTTGCCTAAAAACATTACTCTTACATTTCCATGACGATAGCACCACTATCTTGTTAGCATAGCTAATCACAAAACCAGCAAGGTGAAGACCCAGGTAGTTTGACTTCCTTCCAAAGATGAAAAGGGAACAAATTATAATTATGAATATCACTTAAACTCACAGATGAATGTTTTTATGTTCGTTATCTTTGTACCGAAGCATGGATCAGGGACCAGCTATTTACTTATTTGATGGACAAACCACTGAAGACTGTTTCTGATGTACACAGATAATTTGATATGTTACTAAATCAAGTGCAGAAAACAATGATTTAGCTCTGTATCACACTCGTGTGAACGTAACTGTTTGTAATGTTGATGTTGTCTTAAGCATTAAAGTGAATGTACTGCGTTGGCCCTTTGACCCTTGGAGCACAGTACTTTTCAGAAGCTAAAAAGGTAACCTTTTCTACATTCTTCTTTTTTTTTTTACAGTGTGTTTAATAGATATGAATGGTGTGGGAAATATAGTGCAGACTTGAATGTTATGTTTTATGTTATTGCAGAAGACATAAACACCATATGTTTTGTATTTTGTGTTGTCAGATTCTGATTATTTCTTATACATCCATTTCTGCATTTCACATACCAAAAAGTTGTGATGTTTTGAGGTTTTTAATGTCTTTTTTGTTTTGTTTGTTGGGGTGCTTGTTTTGTTGTATTTGAATGAATTTTGTCCTGTTTTCTATTTTCTAACTTTTCCCAGTCTTTTCATTTATGGTTGTAATATCCATGATTTAAAACCATGAAATGATGGTAAATATTAGATTTAAATCGCATTAAATTGAGTTGAGTTTTTTAAACAAAATCACAATTGTTTTTTTATTGTTGAAGGCCAAAACAATTCTCAGACCATGTGAATAAATGTTATTCTGTCACTGTGCCAAAAAAGTTTCAGCCAACAGAGGCAATATTTTGAACTATTCAGAAACTCCCTTTGCTTACTGAGACTTCGCCAGAACAGAGAGTTCAGAGTTATCGGACCCTACAGCGCTCCAACACAATAACATGACTGAGTGGCTGACATGTAACAACACGACCATATCAGTGCGTCACTCTTTTCAGCTCAGCTCAACCCTGGCCGGCGTTTATACGGCTGCATGAGTTTAAAGGATGACAGGCTTGAAAGACGAGCTGTCTGAGCGCATGTCCTAGAAGCCTCTCCAGTCTGGCCTGAAACCATTCCTCGTGATGCAGCTGCAGCCCACACAAGCTTCCTGCAACACTGTAGTCGGCCTGAATTGCCAGTGAAGTATCAAGGCCCGGCCTATACTCAGGGGAATGCAGGGAAACCTGGTTACCGATACAAGTCAACAAAAAGCAAGCGTGTGTCTCATTTTTCAAAAAGACAGAGAAAATTTCATGTCTGAAATGTATACACAGATGAACAACTCATTTGTATGTGGCATTCGTTTTGGAATCAAAATGGAGAAAGATAAAAACATGACAATTCTTAGTATCTACGATACAACGTCTTTTAGTTAAATCATATCTCAACTATTGCGTTCCGTTTGCTTTTTCCATTCTATCTTCTGTGTTTTTCATTAGGCAGTTGCCAGAGACAAAATGTTGATAACCATATGTGTCTGTCTCTACACTAGCGAACTGAGCGGCTCCTTTCTTTCCTATTCTCTTCCCTTAAGAGAACACTACATTTTCTACTCATGTTTCAATCGTTGAGATAAAGATTAGTGCCAGCATTTTTGTGGCTGAAACGCAACTCATAATGAAACATTTTATCATCACAGCACTGATCCAGAGATTATATCATAAAGAGGAGATTTATTTGAATGGGCCAATGAGTCTCTCAGTCGAAAAATAGCAGAATCGTAGTATGCACTACCACTGCCAGTTTTCCTCTCTTAACTTTTGGGTCTACACCACTGGGTATGCAAAAGAAATTTAGATCTGACTGAGCTTAAATGATAACCTACAACTAAAAAACGTCCACTATGTTCCAGCAATAGTAGCAAGAAGTCCTTAGTAGGGAGCAGAAAGACCTTATCCACTGTTAGAGAGGACAATGTGTAATTTGCTAATTAGATTATAACTAGTGATGCACCAGTGTACAAGCTTTAGCTGGCTGCTGCAAAAATGGGTTTACAGTATATGAGCTCAGCTGGAGTTTTAGCAAACTTTATTAGTTGAGTAATCATATCAAATCATCATGGCCCATGAGTTTAGAAAGTGTAATATTTCCGGTAAATGAATGAACTTTTCATTTAGCCTTCATTATAGGAATGCTGGGTCTTCCTTAATGAAAGGAAAGGAGATAATTCCATCACCTGGATTTGCTTTACACATTTATTTTCATCTCTTTTACTTAAAGTTATCCATTTGTGGTTTTCCCTTTACCCTAAACTTATTATGTTTTTGGGGAAAAGAATGCGTGTTTTCTTTTTTTTCAGGTAACAGTAAAAAGTTTGTTGCTCCCGTAAAATTACATAATGTCAATGCAGAAACGATACCATAGTACAATGGATTAGAATACAATTAGCTTGAATTTAACTGTATTTTTTAAAGTTCCATGAAAAGTCATTGTTTGTGATTTTGCATCACATAAATAAAATCAGTTTTAATTTAAACAAATTGAGAGATATTATCTTGCCCTTGTTTCTCCACTCACCTTAAACTGAAGTTTAAAACTAATCCAAGAACAGTTATATTTCTGTCTGGAGTAGAAAGATGTTTGAATCTGTCCACATCCATATGTTCAGGACAAAAAAGTTAATGATGGATGGAAATGAACCAGATGACAAATGTTGAAACTCTTTCAAACTTAGACATCTGTTCAGCATTTTCAATGACTGCTCTGTCTGTGCCGCTGCATGTGTGTGCGTCAGTGCATGTGTGTGCGTCAGTGCATGTGTGTGCGTCAGTGCGTGTGCTATGTATCACATCTTGAGGCAGGTGTGAATCTGTCCTGGAGCACCCGTGTGTTGCAGATGGAAAGCGCAGTTTAATAATGCAGCAGTGCTTTGAAGCCCCTCCACTGTCCCGGGATACTTTGTTCTCCACATCTCCTGCAGGAGTAACTCAAAGGCTTCATGCCTTGGGCCTCAGTCCTTAAGTAGCTCTCCAGAGTCTATCTTGTAGCGCAGGCCAGTACTGTGAATGATTTAGAGAGCTCTGGTTATATTTATTCCAAAGGTGTGTCTTTCATCCAGGAGACAAATTACTGCTTTCATTGGAATGAAAATATATTTATGCTAAAAGTTGCAATACATGTACCTACATTTGAAGGATTAATCGTGCTTTTTTTTCCCTCAAAGATAAGAAAGTGCTGACATTGCGAGATGTTGTGCATGAGACGGGCCACACAGTAGCAAGGCAGATAAAAGAAAAAGGAGAAGGGACGATTCGGAACAGCATTCTGGCACAGAGAAGGGAGAAACTGGCTCAAGGACACGCGGAGTGCAGTGTCGACGCAGTGTCTGTCAAAATATGACAGCCCCGGGAAAAAAAAAAAGAAGTTGCTACCCGGGCGGCGCAACACAGATGGAGGTTTGACTAAGTCACTGGCAGTCTCTCACCTCCCACTTTCACACACTGTGAAACCTCATCAGGATTCTTATGCCGTTTTTCTGAGAAAGCTCACTGCTAAGGTCAGCGTGAGCTTTACTGAATGTACAGTTCTAATGTTAGATTGAAATATTACTATAGCGAACGCAACCTAAATCCATCCCTGGTCTTTCCGTCGAGCATCGAGCGGCCTCAGTGCACACGCAGAGTACACGTCTTCTCTTGTGTGAGCGTTGCTTCCTTCCTGTCACATATAAGGCATCATGTAACATGTCTCACTAAAAACGGATGGCTCGAGTAATTTAATCACCTCACTAATGGCTTTCAGGAGATAAATGGCTGCTTTCATTTTCTCATCGTCTATATTAAGCGCCAGAAGTCTTTTAATTTATTATGCTGCAGATTTAGAGAGAACTACACTTTAATGCGACAGCAGTTAGCGTGACGTAAATATATAGATTTCTTCGGCCGTTATTTCGACATTTCCGATCAAGTTGCTCCAGATTACCCATACCCCTTTATTGACAGACAGAAGTGAGCTCCAGAAATCAACCTATTTTCCCTAACAATATGTATTTATGAACACAGTTCTATTCCTCCCCTGATACTTCGGTATGATCTAATAATTCCAAATTTGATTTCCCTGTGGTTCCCTTGCTAACTTGTTTTGGCCCGAGGCACACATGAAATAGGAGGCAAGAGCACACAGAAGTGGGGCTAGTGCTCCCCTGTGAGCCAAAGGATGGGTCTATTTGTGGAGCTATTTCTGTTTCCGTCTGTCAGAGCATCCACAAAGGCTGCTGAGCTCCGGCCAGAGCGCATGTGAGGGTGTAACTGGAGCACGAGAGGGGAAGACTGAGGAGACGCAGCCCGACACTCCTTGGCTGGGCTTCAGGCAAGGACAGAATCAAAAGCGGAGCAGGAAACGGAGGGCCACACCGGGCTGATATTGCACACCGCACGCGGCTTGCTCGTGCCCCATGTGGCCCGGTAATTAGACAGGCAATACGAGGGGCTTCTGCGTCCGCCGTCGATCACAGCCAGCACAAAGAGGCTTCGTTCTTGCCTATCCAATTGGTCGCACTTTACAGGCAATGTAGGAGGACAGCCAGCCTCCTCTGACGTCAGTATAGATGGAGGACAGAGCCGCAGATGACATGTGCAAATACGAGTGGGAGGCTCAGTGAAGCACACTTGTGAGTCACAGCATGGACACATGAGCGAGCTACTTATAATCACAGGCTTTCAACTTGAGTTCATAATGTATTCACTCTTTTGTTGTCAGCGCCATAATTGCAGGGGGGAAACATGGATAGAAAGGATTAGAAGCCCAGGCAGCCATAATGTGTCTCTAACAGTGGTGAGCAGAGGGAAAAGCGGGAACAGCAGGCTGCTTTACTGGCTGCCTCTGTCTGACTGTCTCCTCTGCGCTGTATTGAGGTCAGCGCTGAATGTGGGGCCGAAAAAAAGCAAAATTATTTCCAAATGCTTGAAAGTAATATCGAGATGCAATCCCCCTCTTTGACCCTGTTAAAGCCCATTTTCTTTTTTATATGCCACTGATAGCTGTGAGGCTATTATCGCTATCATGAACACATAATGGGGCAAAAAAACAACTGATAGGTGATCAACACTTCATGAGGATATATTCTCCTTAGAAACCATGGTTTTATAATTTGTGTAGACTTTATACATTACCCACCTCATGATCTGTACCCCAGCACAAAAATCAAGCTAATCTTTTTACACTTTCTTAATGTGGCTTGGCTTGATGTTAAAAAAGTCATCATTTTAATCAAATCATTCATCCACCTCCAATTTTTCCTTAGGTGTTCCATCCGCCCAATCTCCCAGCAAGACATCAGATCAAATCATCACAGGTCATGTGGTGTTTTGCACCGCCGCCTCACTGTAAGCCCTACCTCAAATGCCAATTGGGCTTTTCTGTGTTACTTAGTAAGCAGTGCTAACTGACACACACACACACACACGAAGGGAGCACAGATTTAGTCTTCAGCACTGATTTACTGTTTTTGTGCCGTCAACTCTGAACTCCTTAATGTGATACAGAACGCTGCATTAGGAACTGATACCACATACCCCTGTGTGGTCGTTCAGTCCAGAGCACTATAAACGCGTTTAGTAGTGAACCCTGAGACCTTTGGCCTAGTTTGACTGATTTCCTGGTTGATGCATGGCTCAGCTGTGACATTTTACAGGCTCCTTGTGAAT